TTTTTTTTTTTCCCCCACGCGCAAGTAGGTAGGTAAAGGCAGCGGGAGCGCGCACGCCTTCGCAGCACGTAGGTAATCAGCAGCAGTGGCTGCTGTTGCAGCAGCATCCTGCCACTGGAAACCATCCTCGAAACTGATCGGCCCAGATAAGAAAGATGCACTCATAACGCATTTATTTCTATTTTTTTTTAATTTTTTTTTACTGATTGGTTTAATTGAAACGTTTGCAGGAGAGCGCGAGGATTGTTTTATTTATTCCTCCAGGATATTTAGATGTAGCTGCAGACCTGACAAACCTGAAAATTGCCATTGTCGAGCTGTCAGCCGACTCTTGTAATTATCCTCTTGAAAAGTCTCGATCCACAACGGTACGACTGAAAACCCACATTTTATTCTATTTATTTTGTTGTTTTTCCCCCTCACTTGGTTATCAAAAGCTGATCAAAAATAGGGCATGACTTGATTGTCAATAGGAGCTTWTTCAGAGTGAAAATAGTTATGTTATAATCCTAAAGACTGTGTGTACGACGGGGGGGGGGAGCTTTATTTTTAGTGTATTCCTTTAAAAAGGAAGCGTCACATTAGTGTTAAGCAGCGCTGCTGATGGTTGATTCATAAAAGTAGGCGAAGGTTCAGCACTGATGGTAAGAGATCATGTCGGACTGATTATGTCAGACAGCTCTGATTAAAATCAGAATCAGCCTTTTTTTTCTTGAAAAATAAATTAAAAAAATAAAACACTGCGGGTGAGAATTTGTACCGACAAAAAAAAACCTCATTGTTTTAGTCTCATTCGAGCATAGTTTTTTTTAGAAATAGGTGGATTTTTAAATATTCTCGAAAGCAAACACATTYCAAGAATTGCAATGGTGTCAAAAAAAGAAAGCAAAAAGAAAAAGAAACGGTTTGTGGGTGTTTTTCTGTGTCATCAATGTACCTGCTTTCTCATTTATTCCAACACACACACACATGGCAAAACAACCCTGACTAATAATTAACCTTTCATCGCAACAAAGTTAAGCAAAAGGTTCAAACGAGATGATTTATTTTTTCAAACGATGCAGCTGGAAAATGATATTTTACTAAATAAAATCCACTTCTTCGCGCGTTCTGAAAGCGCTGCGCCGCAGGTAATCTGTTTGTGACATCCACTCTTAGTCCTTTTCACCTCTCTTTGTCTTTTCAAGAAACGAACGAGCTGCCGGTTCGTTCAGCCTGAGAACCAAGTCGGCTTCTTAGAACAGAACCAGGGCGTCAGACGGTGCGTGTGGAGCGGCTGAAACCTGAACGACGTGCGTGGATTTTCTTAGAACGATTTCAATTCAGAACTAATTATAATTTAGCTTATTTTTCCTTCGAATATCAAGAGAAACACCTCGTGTCATTTAATCATTCAATTCTTTCCCCTCAAAAAAGAAAAAAAAAATCTGCCAACTGAGTGATTTGTGATGCTTATCTATGTGTGTGTGTGTGTGTGTGTG